TATATCTTAAAAATCACTCAAGTGCTCTGAAATCGATCATCCATTCTTGTACTGTAAAGTTGTAAGTTTTTTAACAAACATAACTTTATTCATATATATTTTTCTTTTATATAATGCTGCCAATTTTTTTCAAATAGTATGGGCATCTATCTCTTACGCTATATGATGGAACATACTGATATCAATCCATTTTTTTATTATGGCTAACATATTTCTGCCTAACTTCTTTCAACTTTCATCTTTTATATCTCCTAATTTAGTTGAATCACCTAATATCGACTGATACAAATCTTTATAGGATAAATGTTATTCCATCATAGGCTTTCAAATTGAATAATTTGATGCTGTCAATTTTATCATGAAACCTATATCACTTTTTATGATCTCAAACATAATTTACTTTCGTTTTGAGTTCCTTTTGTATTAATATCTCAAAATAACCTTCATTCTAATACTACTTGTTGGACGTGAAACAATAAACACAATAATACAGAAACAATATATCACAATAAATCCACTGCAATAGACAACAATCAATAATAAGAAATGCAAAAAAAAATAAAGCACACTAAGATTGACGTGAAAAACCCTCAAGTGTAGAGGAAAAAAATCACAAACCACCAAAAAAAATTTTCTATCAAATAATGGTATACGAAGTTCACCTTTAGCTAAAATTAAAGCGAATTAATAATTAGAGAGATAATTGAAAAAATCTCATCAAATAGGTGACCCAATAAATATACTCTAGATTTCTTCCTAGGGAGCTTTAAACTTAATTTTCATTGTTCAAAATGTAGAACTTTAAATTATAAACTTGTTGATAAAATTTCAGCTCAATCGGACTATAGATTTAACTAACTCTCCATTTTTCCTCTTCTCTCTATTTTTTTTTACTTTCTTTTATCTTGGTTTTAGTGCCACCCTCTGTTTCTCTATATCACAGCTCCCTTTTATTATTTAAGGCTTTATTTAAATAGGGTTCTCTCAAGTGAAACAAAAAAAAAAACTTTAAGCTTTTTAATTGACCAAAACCAATGGGGTTAGACCCCAAATATCCTAACAATAGCTAGCTTTTGGGGTGTGGCTTTTCTAAGGTTCATATTAATTGATATCATAGATTGAAAGTCAGTTTATGGGTGCACCAATGTGATGGATTATTATGATTTTAATTGCAAGGTATGGGACTTGAATTTCACATCAAAGGTATGAGATTTCTTTGTAAGGTATATATAGACATATATTCTCACATTCGAATAATTGGTTTTCAGTAGGAGTGAGAAAAATAAAAATATTAAAAATTAATTTGAAATTGTGTTATTTGGTTAGGATCAATTTTTTTTTATTCGGTTTGATTTTAAGTTCGCATATTAAATATTTTTGTTAGGTTTGATAGGATTACGGATAAAAAGAGAAAGAATCAAAATATCTAAATGAATTATTCATTTTTATTAGTTTTTATATATTTTAAAATTTTATAAAATAAAAATAATTATTTTATATTTAAATATATTTATATCTATTTAAAATTATATCAAAATAATATCAAAATTAAAAAATAAAAAATTAATAAATTAATAATAGAATTTAGTTCAAATCAAATCATTTTCAAGTGAAAGTAGAGTCAAATTTAGATCGAATTTTGAAAATCTATAATATTATATATTATCTAAAAATTCAAATCAAATATGATCCGATCTTAATATATATTACCCCTAACTTTTAAATATAATTCTCTTGTCATATTTTAATATATTTATTCCTAATAATTTAGATTTTTGCAAAAAAGAAAAAAAAAACAAATTTTAAAATAAAAAATGGGAGAGTCCAATGACCGGGCTCTACACGAGTTGTACCTCCATTATATTCACTAGATTGGATAAATTTGAACTTGCTATTAATCAACCTCTTCCTATAATAAAACCTAATGTGAAAATAATGGCTTTTATCTTATTTACCATAACACCTTTTTATTTTGATAATAATATCAATAAAAAAATTAACTTGACCATGAAAAAATCAACCAGGATTATTGATATACAGTAAAACAAAACATGGCTTCTCTTGACTATAGAAAATCATATCTAGCCGTAACTCTGATCTAAAATAACGAAAACAAGTTTTACCAAGCTTTTGAAAACCGATTTTTTTGTTTCATAATTGAGACTATTAAAATTTGAATTTTAATTACTGAAACTAAAAGTTCAGTATTCTATCAAGATTAAGTAGCTGTTGGCTTTGAATACATATTTTTTACTGATGGCAAAGCGAGCTAGAGCTAGCGAAGAAGTAGACAGGATCAGTGGTTTACCTGACGAACTTCTTTGTCACATAATCTCATTCCTTCCGTTGAAAGAAGCAATTCGTACATCTATTCTTTCAACAAGGTGGAGTAATATTTATACTTTTATATCTGATCTTCACTTTGAAGATCGTTTTAAAAGGCGAAAATCAGATAGTTTTAGTTTCATGAATTTTGTGGATCGAGTTCTGTTTTATCATACTGGAGTTTTAGATAAATTTCGTCTAAAGTGTGGAGAATTTGTTGATCTTATAGGGTTGATGGGTGGATAAGATATGCATTACAGAACAGTGTTAGGGAGCTTGATTTATGCCTTAACTGTAAAGAGTTTAACATCCTGCCTATTCGGGTATTTACTTGCAAGACATTGGTGGTATTAAGATTTGATATATACAGCAAGTGTAATTTTGTCCTGAAAATGCCTGTTAAGATCGGTTTTCCTAGTTTCAAGATTCTTCATCTTTCTAGTATTTGAATACCGGATGATGATTCAAGTCAAAGACTGTTTTCTAGCTGCTCAGAGATTGAGGAGTTGGTTGTAGATAGATGCATCTTGAAAAAACAATGCAATTTCCATGTTTCTAACCCTACACTGAAGAGACTGACCATAGCCTACACAGGGGGATTTCATGAAGATTATGAGATTGTGATATATGCCCCTAGCCTTATTTGCTTCAAATGCTGTTACCTACCACAACGCTTCTCCCTCAAAAATCTCAACTTTCTTGTCGAAGCATGTATCGATTTTGGGAGAATCTTTGATTCTTATCAATCTTTTGTCTCTTATAATACAGCTGCAACTAATCTCTTTAAAGGCATTAGTAATGTTTAATCACTTCCTTTATCTGGCAATTTTACAAAGGTTAGTTTTGTTCAACCCCAAATTCATTGATTTTTCTAGTCTAAAAAGTGCACTAAAAAGTGACAACGATTATCTTTTCCTGTAGGTTTTCCTAGAATGTAGTAGCATAATCCATGAGTTGCCTAAGTTGACTTATTTTAGTCTCAATGGCAACTTCTTTGTTGGGTGGGAAAGAGTGCGACCACATTTACTCGCATGTTTTCCTTGTCTAGAAGCTCTTGTTTTTAAGGTTAGATTCATGAAATGAAATATAATTTGTATTAACTGCATATATTAATTTAAAGTGGCAAATGTTCATATATTTGTCTCTGGTTCAGGTCAATCTCCAGTATGCAAGCAACAGAAGCGCAGTTGACATTACTAACTCCCTATGAGATTTCCCTTCCTTCTGTGGTCTCAACTCAAGACACTTAAAATTTTGTCATTCGAAGGCATAGAAAATGAGCTGGAAATGGTTGAGTAATTTCTGAAGAATGCTCAAGTTCTGGAGAATATCACAGCACAGATTAGACCAAGAAGAAGTCACAAGCCATCAAGATGGAGGTCAAAGATCACTAAGACATTGTTGAATTTACCAAAAGTCTCAGAGAAATGTAAAGTCTTAGTCGTCTAACTATTTTTTGATATGAGATAATGATGGTTGCCAGATTTTCACAACCATATGTTATCAATGACTAGTTAATTCCACTTCAGCATTGATTTGAATATCAATTAGTTTTGCTTGAAGATTACTAAGTACTTCTGGTTTTCAATTTTTTAAACATTTGTGCATAGTGCAACACAAAAAAAAAAAAAAAAAATCAGGCAGGAAATTGTTGTGCAATGCTTGAACATGTTTGGTGATGTATTTAACATGCTGGTCTCACTAATGGCTAACCTTGTCTTTAATCTTAGGTTTCACCAGAACCCATGCGTTTAACCTGGAGTACCGATGTGTACCATTCACCCGAATTTACATATAGTAATGTCCATCTCTTACCAAAAACAAGCCATTTGTGGATATTATCAGGGGGTTCGTACAAATTAAGCGTAGTTCCTTTTTCGCTCCACAAGGATCAAGATCAAATAAACATTCATTATCTTTCTGCCGAACGAAGATATATTTCTAGATTCTCAGTGAATAATGATCAAGTGAGACACAAATTATTTAGTTCGGATTTTTATGATAAAAAAGAAGATAGGATTTCCGATTATTCAGAATTTTATCGAATCATAAGTATTAAGGCAGTTTATAAGTTGAAAATATCAAAGCTGTTTCGCTTCAAATATGGATTCATGAAAAATTTGCCGCTCAAAATCACTGATATGCACTGTGAAGGCATAGAATGTGAGAATTACTAAGAAAAGGATCTTCAAATTTCTGTAAATCTTTTCCGTCTGTGAGATTAATAGCTGCACTCTATGATCTAGATCAATCTTGTCACCTATTATTTGCAGTTACCTGGTAGGAGACTCTTCGAATTTGTGTTTGCAAGAGATCCACTGTCATTGATTTGACTAAATCAAAAGAAACTTGGCAAGCTGTAAATGCAATAATAAGAACAAATCCAATGCTTTAATACAACCTTCAATTTGCATATCTAAAGCAGAATATATATGAAAAAAAATACAACAGCAGCAACTAATGAAAATTTATGGCAACAGCAAGCAGAATATCTTGGTTTAATGTATTAAAACCAAAAACGAAAATATTGCAAATTAAAACTACAGCAAATTTCTAAAGGTCACATATTTTGACTTGTTTAACATGGGTCATCTTCAGACAGACATGAGATGACTTGGTTTTGCGGCTTGCAGCTAGCGGCTTCCTTTTTAATGTTTTCAATTGCTTCAGCCTCTTCAGATCCTTTGACGGCACTCCCCTTGTACTTGTTGCTTAGCAGAGGCTTTGACTATGGCATTGTAGTTGGGGTGAGGACGGACCAGATAAACAGATGCGGCTGCTTCTGGCATTTTAACACGTTGGCTTGAGGAACAAGGTTGAGAACTCGACGTGTGTTCTTTGGTGACTCTAAAATCCAAATCAAACTCCCTATATTCAATGGTTGCGGGCCTTGTGGGTTTTTTCACAGGCTGTTTCATGAAGGGAACGTCATGAACCTCGATGTTCCTCGGGTCAGAAAACTTTGTGCTCTTGTTAAATATGATTCGGCTCCACTTTTCAACCAAATCCTTGGCAAGTTTGTTGTTCGAAGCCATTTCCTCATCAGATTTTGATAAGAACATAAAAACCTTTCCAATGCCACTCTTCTTGAACTGTTCTCTACGATCTGCTTGCTCCAAGTCAATTGGAAAATCAGTTAAGATGTTCAAAGTGGCAACCCATCAGTGAGGGGTAAGCTTCCATCAGGGAGGGGTTGTAGCCAACTCTTCAGGAGGGTCAAAACGCCATGATCCAAGAATTCTAGTTGAAGACTTTTCTTGCGTAAAACCTTGAGAAGAAGAGGCAACTTCCGGCGTTTATTGATGGCAGTTTGGCCTTTTCTGTTGAGTTGTGCATCATCCTCCACAACAATCTCAAGCTCAGCCATTGCTTTCTCAACAAACAAAGCAATTTCTTCACAACTTTTCTCACTCTTCTTCCACCTTTTAACTACACCGAAAATGGCATTGATTTCTCGGTCGTGATCGTCTACTCCATCAGAAACCTTTCCTCTATTCCTTTTCTTCTCTCCTTCCATGATCTCAATCAAGAATGCTCTATCTCTCAACTATGTTTTTGATATTACTTCTGGCTCGAGGCTTTAAAGTGGGTGTATTTATAGATTTTTGAATAAGCCTTATCCCAGTAGAAATGCGACTGACATGAATACCTGAACCAAAGGGATTAGGAAGTTTCCAAAGCCAACTGTCAGGACCCAGGGATGTAAACCGACTCAAGAGCCTGACTTTAAGAAGCATTAAATGTTCGAATCCTCCTCAAAAACTTGTGATCAACGCACCAAGTCTTGTCTACTTGGAGCAGTTTGATTTGGTAGCAAAACACTACTCATTGCTGAACCTGCAGTCTCCTGTTGAAGCCCTGGACCCATTATTTTCACCTCCTTTTATCAAACTGCTGCAGCAGATCTGCTAGAAACGCCATGTCATGATTCTCTGACCTTCTCAATATTTTTTGGATTAATCAGCCTGGAATGCTCTCAACAAAGAACCATGAATCAAAAAAGGAAAGTGACCCCTTGTTTGTTATCTCACATCAAAGCAATTAAATTTCTGTTACTCCAAAAGGAAGAAATATGAACTGCAAAATAATTAAGCATTTTTTGCATGCATGCTGAAGTTTTTTAGGGAATTTGGTGTTAGGTTTATTGCGCCAAAGAGCCAGCAGCTCAAGATCACTGAACAACTGTTGAATTGATGTACCAAAAACTTTGAAGAAATGCCAATTTAATTATAGTTGTCCAACCTTCTCAATCTTTCTTTTAGATTCACAGGTCTGTTCAGGGATTCAAATTGTGGTTGCAGATACGTTTTCGATCGCGTCGCGTTTGTCGCAATTGCGTATATAACGGAGATTATTGCGATCATCAAGGTTGTGATTTTTTTAAAATTTTTTAAAATTTATTATAAAATGTAGTAATTATAATTATAATAATAAAAATTAGTACTTATAATTTTTAAAATAATTTATGATATTTTAATTTTTATTTATAAATTAAAATAATTTTTTCATGTTTTGTAGTTATGATTCAAAATGAAAATGCATATTATAAATGTTTTTTTTATTAACTTATGAAGTTCAAAGACATAAATATTATAAATACATATGATAGAAAAAATATATCTTATATGAAATTAATAAAGATTATAATTAATTTAATTAAAAAATTAATGTTGAATATCTAAAAAAAAAAAGGTGAACTGACGATCCTCCTACTGAAAGAAGTGGAATAAGCAAGCAAAGAAGGACCTACTTATTGGGGTTAGGAAGCACCCCGTCCGACCGAGATTGATCGGCTGCAAAGGTTGCTCGCAGTCATTATGATTGTAAATTTCATTCACAACCCAATTTCGGGTATGTAACGGTGGCAGAGACTACCGAAACCGTAAAATAGCAGCCGCAATGCCATTACACAATCGCTATTTGAAACCCTGGGTCTGTTACTATAAATATTCTAGCTTAATTCTGATATATACAAGTAATGTTTCCTTGATCAAATCTTCTCAAATGTATTTACAGGCCAACTCTTACATGATCCACTTGACTGTTCAGCTTTTGTCAATGAACAGTACTAAAAGCATAACTGTTAGCCAAAGATGCAAATACAGTTAAATTCCTTTCAAAAACACAGGAAAACCCGAAATCATTCTTTTTTTTATTTACTCAAAATTATCATCATTTTCTTGTTCTTTCAAACATTTGGTCAGCTTTTGTTTTGCAGAATCATCTAGCAAAAAATATAGAGCAGTACCTTAGTACATGAATTTGTGTATAATAAAATCCAAAACCCTAAATAAAAGAAAATTTTAGAAAATTACTGATATGCTCTTACTTTCCTAGTCTAAAATTGCCACGTCTTGTCATCACCCCGTTCCCAACCCCAACCACTTGACAACATATCATTATATAATTGGCCAAAATATAATTACAACAAAACAATAAACCTACACTTCACCACACTCAAACCAAACCTCCCCACAAAATCCAACTTTCTTCTCGATAACCCTTTGTCAACGGGGGAAGTGGCATATCAATCTAAAATAATCTAAAATATAATGCCATAATATAAAATAATATAAAAAATATGTAAGAAAAATAATTTAAAATTTTAATAACATTATATATAATATATTTATATATTTTTTATCAAAGAAAATTATAATAAATAATTTTTATATAAAATATAATATAAATATATAAATTATCAATACTTTATGTTACATGAATACACCGTATGTACAATCCAATCACTTTAATATTAAAAGAGCTGTGGGCACTTTCACATGAAATAAAACCAAAGAGTTGATTTGATTTTCAATTTCAACCTAAAATAAAAAGGGGCTTTGGACTGAGATTTCTGAGCCTATAAAACAATCTCGTTTTTTTCTGCAACCTTTTCACCGCCTTGTTGTCACATCCACCAAAAAGCCCAAAACTTTTCAAAAAAACCTAAAAGAAATTTTTTTTTTTTATATTTTTTCCTTGATCATTTTTTTTTAATTTTGCCTTGATCGTTAATTAAAGGATAAATTATATAAATTATCTTGTAATTTGAAGTGGATTGAAAGTGACTCTTAAGATTTAAAATTTGATACTTAACTATTTTGATTTATTTTATTATTCTTTTATCCAAAATCATAATGTTTTTTTTTATTTCTTTTCAAAATTCTTTCTGGTTTCTATTTTCTCTCTCTAACGTGCTCTAATCTTCTCTCTAATTTATTTCAACCCAGCAAATGCCAAGAACAAAATCTAGTTTTTGATGAAGCCCTTCATAGCCTCCACCAATCACTGTCGATTTTCACTATTTGTGTGTTGCTCGTTATTAACTATGCTGCCAGTTGATCTTTTCCTTCCTTTTCTTTTTGTCTTTGTTTTAAAAATTCAAAAATTTAAAAAAAATTCAAATCGAAACCCACAAAAAAAAAATCTGTTGTGGCTATTATGTGGATTTGTAGTTGCTTTGTGGGTTTACTGGGTATGGGTAACTCAAGGTGGATTCAGGATCTGTGAGTTTTTCTAATGGTTGCTAAGTTTGTTTTAGATTTCTTCAAGGTTATTTGCACTGTTGATGGTTGTCCCTGAAAATTGGTGTGGCTACTGAATGGAAATTTATTGTTTGTTTGATGCTTGATTGATTGCTTTTAATTGTTTCTGTGTTCCTCGATTGCTTCCTTATGAATTGCTTTTTACTTGTCGTATTACTTCTATCAATCATGCTGGGATTGCTTAGTTTGCTTATTATTGGATTGCTTTGTTTATAAAATATCCCAATCTAAATGATAGTTAGGCTAGACTATTATTAATGCCCATTAATTTAATTAAGAGGTTAATTACTAAAAAAAACTAAAAAAGGTGTTTTATTAGATAAAAGCAAGCTATCATGAAATAGAAAAAAAAAGTTTTTTTTCCCATTTTTCTTAGGGTTAGAGAGTATGAAAAATCAAGTTGTAGATTCGAAATCAGAGGTTATAATTGGATTAATCCCTTAAAGGCGAGTATATGCCCTCTTTTTATTTTAAAAAAAAATACCATGTTAGTAGCTATTAATTTGAGCTGAAGTTATGAGAGAAAAATTAAAAAAATTATAAAATCATTCATTAATCTTCATGATATATTTGAGAAAACTATTGGGCTTTGTTTACTTCGTGTCATTAAGATTTAATGGTAATTATTGAGTGGATTTTAAAGGTTGAAAGTAGATATTTGGGTTTTTAAATATTGAAAGAGAAATTATTTTTTTGGATGAGATGCTATTTATCTATAATAGTGAATTAAAATATAATTCTATGTTAATAGATAGATTATTACTACAAGTATTATATATCATTAGAAAGTTTGTTGAATCTACTTTCTAACAAAATAAACGGAAGTCGATTCTAAATTTTTTATAAAGAGTTATCTAATTTTTACTTAAGGATATGCAGGTTATATGGCAGCAACATTAATGATGAATTATGAAAATTGTCTTAAATTTTATACAAGGAATTACAAATTGAGCCTTAGATGTTTAAAAATCTTATTGAGTTATTTTCCAACGAAAAAAGCATAATTGAATTCAGAGACTCCTATAATTATATATGTAATTTTTACTAAAAGGTATGCATGTTATCTAGTAGCAGCATATGACTAGGATTGTAAAAATTATTACAATTAGTTGACAAGGAATTACAAGGTAGTCCATATATGGTTAGAAAGCTTATCAAGTCTAGTTTCCAATGCACTAAAAAATCTTAATTTCAAGTTGTATATCTTGAGATATAGTCATTTTAGTAAAAGTAAAATAGGCTGCCAGAATTAGTTAGTTGAGTTAACTATTGTATAACTTAGTTGTTTTTAGTATTAATGGTCTCAAAATGGATTGATTAATTTTTGTTATATTGAAATGATCTTGAATAGGCCTTTAATTATTTTGGAGAAAAAACTATTTTGTAGAATCAAAAGAAGGTAAGTAGAATCTCACATACTTTGTTTATTTTTGAATCTATGTATGTATGCATGTTTTTAAATGAATGAATATTTTATTTCTTATTTCAATGTAAGAAAATAGGATCAAAGATAAGATTATTTTGTATTGCTCTATATAAACATTGATCATGTTTATGAATGAAATGAGAAATTGAATTATGATTAAATAATGATTTTATGATAGCTACGTATTTATATCCTTAAAAAGTAAGATCATTGACACCAGAACTAGTTTTACGACCCTAATTAATATGTTATAGCAGTTAGCATAGCCATATCATATAGCCCTGCTAACAAATTATAGTAGTTAACGTAAGATCCTGACTAGCAGGTTATAATAATTAGCAATAATCATGAGAATGAAATTGTTAATATAGCCAATGTTATGGGTTATAATAGTGACTGTAGCTAATGATAATGATAATTTATGATGATGATGATTATGATATTTTTAAAGATTGATCCATGATTTAGTTTAATTATGATATTTGAATGATAGCATATTTTGAAATAATTTATGAATTGATATGTTTGATTTTGATTTATGAATTT